TTTTCTTTAAGGCAGTTTAGCTGATGGTGGATAATGAATGTATTGTACTCGTTGATGATGTCGCGAAATAACAACAAACAACAACGTGTCATGTCCGAGCCTAGGCCGTCATGGAAGCTCACTGGCTCCTGTGTAATTCATGTTGAGCCAACTGCAGACGAAAAGGTTACAATCTTTTCAGAGATAAGCTGGAAGAAAGTTTTAGACAGTGCCCATCAATGGAAAGATTTTAATACTGAGGAATGGAAGTTAGCGAAATCCTTTGCTTGCTTAACCGTTTTTCTTCGATCGTCGCTTCCAATGGCCGACATAGCAGGTCGAGATCCGCGTAGGGTATCCGCCGCGTACAATCTTTGCGTGTATGCTGTAACCATGGCTATAAATTGTGATTGTTACAGCATGCATGCAAAGATCGTACGCGGCGGATACCCTACACTGTGGATACCCTACACGGCGCTATTTACACAATATTTTTTTACTTTTTATCCAGTGACATCATGGTAAAATTGTATATAATCGCTTATAACTTCATAAAAAATAGCCAAAAAACAATTTTAAGGTTGATTCTATTATTAATGGCATATCAAAAATCCACTCTAGAACAAAAATCATTTTGCTAGTTTTTTTTTAATATTGAAGATTTCATTTCACCTAATAATGTTTATTTTTCCAGCCTGATGCAATGATGAGAGATGTGATTCTGGCAATCCGGGCAGATGAAGCACACCACAGAGATGTCAACCACACACTTGGAACACTCAATCTTACAGACCAAAACCCATTCCCTCCTGGAAAGTAAAGGTTGCTAGTACATTTATTAAAAATACTAAATATTGTACTAGATTTATTATATATGGTGACAGTTCCAGGAATTTGAATAGAGGGGACCCAGGGAGGGACTTTCACAGATGGAGGGTCTAGATCACCTCCCTTCCTTGGTGGGGGGGGGGCTCAGATTCTGCCTCTGATATATTACACAATTCCCTAAGGTGTGTATTCCTAGTTTCATTTCTTAAATCAATATTTAAAATATATATTACACAGATATTGCCTGCTTAGAGGTGTAATATAATATTTGATTATTTCATTAAATTGTAATATAGTTAAGCTACTAAAAGTAGTTAATATAAATATTCCTTGCTTTTATAAAGAAGCTTGGACGGTTGGTGGAGGTGGTATTAAAAATGAACCCACCACTCCGGCAGAAATTTATGATGAATTTATTTGGGGCTATCCTTTGATTAAAATTGATAACAAACCTTTATAGTCCAAAGCTTGCATTGACTCAGGTATTTTAAAAATTAAGGATGTCTTCAGTAACGGTAAATTAGTAAATCCGGAGTTCTTTAAAAATATGAGTATTCACTGCTGCAATTGGGTCATGATATATTGGGCACTAAAAAACGCTATTCCAAAGAAATGTTGACTAATCTAAAAGATCATTTTACAAAATGTGATATCGTAGATCAAAACAAAGACGGTTTTCAAATGCTGGAGTATAATAGTTTAGAGGCGATACCATTATATAAGGCAAGTAACAAAATTATACATAAAAATGTAATACAAAAAGATATTATTACGCCGAAAAAGAATTTTTTTTATACTGGCAAGTCGTATTGCACCATGACCTTATTGAATGGAAAAGTGTTTGGAAAAAGAAAATTGATCAAATCTATAAAATAAAACTCAAACAATTCAATTTTAAGCTTTTACATGCAATTTTAACAACCAACAAAAAATCATTTGAATACAAAATTATAGAATCACCAATTATGTACACTGTGTGGTATAACGAAAGATTACCTACATATGATGTTTGATTGTAAACGTGTAAATAAATACAGTTATTAAAACCTATTATACCAATTCTTTTAGCTGAGATTAAATACAGGAAAAAGTTGCAAGAAAATACCTCATCAGCCAAAGCAAGGAAATTCAAGGATTCATAATTTAACTATGGGAATAATTGCATTTTATATAAAACTATCACTCATTATTATTATTATTATTTTTATTATTATTATTAACAGAAATAATAAAAGTATCATGGTTGAGATCCTGACTAACCTATGCAACGAAAAGGATAATATTTATATATATCTCTTATACACATCTAGATGTGTATAAGAGACAGGTCGAGATCCGCGTAGGGCATCCCCTATGCATATATAAACATATGTACCATTTTGATCAGGTATCCAGGCTCTGGTATGATTGTTCTTGTGTTAAGGTCAGATGGAATTATGTGTATTGAACTGTACGTTAAGACTTACGGTTTACTTATATCTAAGGTTCATGCAAAAAAAAAAAAAAAAAACATAAACAAACTTAACAGTGCTTTATAGCCAAAGCAAAGTCATGCCATGATTATATGAGTCAGTAACTGATGTTGTTTATACCACTACATGAGCGGTTTAAATATGCTTGTCTGATTGTAAATATATTCAGATTTTCTAAAGAATTATCTTTTATTGAATATAGAAGGGGACATCCCTTGGTATATGTCTGACTGAATATCTGATATGGATGAATAAAATTGGTAAATGTACCACAAAAGAGAAAAAAAAAGGCTATTTTTATAATAGTGATTTTTATGTAAACACTTTCTTCTTTTACTTTCGGAGTGTTTTGTTTATAATATAAACAAATTTGTAAATTAAGATGAAAGCATGCAAGAGCTCTCTGTTCCCTATAAAACTACCTCATTACTATTAAACAAATCGGTGTTCTTTGGTTATACACTCAACATCTTATTTACAACACACTGTATTCTGACTGTTTGAGCATGTTATTTATAATGAAAGAGATATAGATCAAAATCTACAGTGCAATACCCAATGGTAAAAATAACAAAGTATTTCCTTACTTGAAGGCAGTCTTTTTTTGTGTTCAGGTACTTAGAAACATATAGTGGTGTCGTACTAACACTATGGTTCAATAGAGTTTGACCTCCCATCGATATTTAATTCTGAATTATCGAATAATTCCAAATACAACCAATACTGTACTTGGTCCAAGTTGTGTAATGCTGTATAATAAATCATATTGAACCATATTGTAGATCAAATTTGTGAGTACCAGTAAATAAAGAAACATATATATATATTTTTATACCTCCATGGTATAATGCAAAGATTGATTAAGTAGCTTGTCCAATGTGTATACTTTTTGTATTTTTGTCAAGGGAAAACAAAATAACCAGTATAAATTTTTAATTGTCTTTACATCAACTTTATATTTATATTATAATTTCTTATGTAATTTTAATTTTATAATGCTATGTTTGAAACCTTTTCTGTATGCGAACGAATAGATAAAACAGTAAATGTGGTATCAAATGAAATATTAATAATTCTGGAATGTTTTATTTAGATATAAGATTATTAAGAATCTTGGCCTCCCTCATTATTTGAAGTAATGTTCATTCTGTGTTACTAAGATAACATAGGGAGAATGCCAATCAATCAAAATGACCAAGTCATGTGTGGCCATGACAGCTACAATATGTACCTGTACATAAGTAAAATGTCTGTAAATCATTGAAAGTTTTTGTTCAATCTGTACCTTATTGAAAGTCAATAAATTATATGTTTTTTTTTCAAATAGTGAGGCATTAAAATTTTGATTTTTTTAAAAATTATTTTTGGTGGCAGTATATTTTTAGTTTGATTGTTCATTTAAGTAAATAAACTTAGAATCTCAGATTTGAAAGTATCTTTTATTGGATTCTTTATTTAATTTCCTTTTTGGAAAAGTGTGTAAAAAGAATGTAGCACTTCTAAATATAAGATAGTTTGAATGCCATAAAATTGCAAAAATGGATGTGTGATGCAGAAGTCGGGGAGGTTAACAGGAATATATTTATGGTGCTAATATTTTGGTTTAAAGTCAAGTTTAAAAACACCAATATCTAGGTTCATGAAACATATTATCAATGGCGTGTGTGATGTGATACAAAACAATAAATCAACTCAAAAAAAGTAGATTCATGAAGTTTTATTTGTATTTTCCCAGGGGTCCCAAGTTGGAAGAACCCATTTCCGGGAGATGACATATGGGGCGCTATATATTCTATGAGGGAAATGTGTAGGTAGGTACCAAACGAAAGGCCACGCCCACCTCAGGTCCATCATTTTTTTTAGAATAGGCACCTTTAGAAGCCTGGAAATGGCACTGCCAAACTGCAAAAAAAAATAGACAACCAAAGTTTAAGCCTAAATAAAATAAAAACATTTGTTTTTTACTGAATTTGCGGGAGATTTTTGCTTGTTTGCGGGAGACATTACCGATTTCCGGGAGACTTGGGACCCCTGTTTTCCTGATTCTGAAATATAAATATAACAACATCATTTTATGCTGATCCACTGTTCAGAATTTCTGTACATCAATAAGTTGATTTAAATGGAGAATTACAGTTATCTGAAGAGTCAAAATTGAACACCAAACATAATTTTCTTTAAACTATTTCATTGTGCACACAGATCATTCATTAATACAAAATTTAATTCATTATTAATACCAATAAATTTAAAAAATAAGCACATTTTGTTCAGTGATGCTAGTAGACCAGAGTTTCTGAACTAGCATCTATTGTAAATAGCTGTAAGTAAACTAAAACCATAATATTCTATTGAATATTCATCAACCTATTCCAAAATTTTTTTTAAATATTCATTAGTTATAATAAATATCTATCCATGAAATCCAAATAAAATTTTATTGAAATGTATGTACTACTGGATAATATTAAACTAATACCAATGATGTCAACACAAAGACCACATCAGTAGTTGAAAGCTTGTTCTGTAAATTTCTTAATATTATCCAGTGTTACAAATTTTAATGAAATAATATTTAATTATTCTGTCACAAATGTGAACATTGACTGATATTCAAGCTATAGATGCTAATATTCTGAATTTTTTTGTTGATTTACTTGGCAGGACAGTTAACTGCAGAACCATCTTTGCAACCTCATTTGTTCTTTATTCATGTAATGTTAATATCAAACTATAGAGGGCAGCAGGCAGCATGGTTATTGTGCAATGGACCTTTCCGCTAAGCCCCACCTCTTGGATATTGTTGCTAAGATCCCACAAAACAATAGTGTAAACGTGCGTTTGTGGGTAAACATGAGTGTATGTTGGACACGTGCGTAATCCTGGCACTGTTCTGATTGGTCAGTTGTTAAGTTTGATTGACACTCCGGAAAGGTCCATTATTCTGCTCCACCTTCTTGTGACATTTTGACCTAAAAATTACATTATCTTCTAATAAACATGAACCATACCATACAAGAATCTGAAAACAAATTAATAAGAAAAGCATAACTGAATTATTGAAAAAGTTAACACTTTATATGAAACTGTATACAAAGAAATAGATAGATAGAAAAATAACGAAAGGAAATAAAGTTTGGATGAATTGAATATGAAGGGAAATGAGATAATTATAATGATGAAAGAAAGCAGAAACAAATAACTGAAGGGAGATGTACAAGTGACAAAAAGTGAATAGAATCCACAGAACTAAAACTTTAAACAAATGAGAAACATAGAAGATTTAAGTTTAACACTTTAAAAAAGGATACGTCCAAAATAGTATATATGTCTGTAACCACTGATTAAGAAATAATGTCTCAGTAATGATACAATTCAAAAAGTAGAATTACTGTATAAGCATAGAAATGAAGTTGCAATTTTTCTTTGTAATTCTAAAAAAATCACCAATGGCTAAATATTTTCATGTCAATATATTATATATATATACATATCATTGTCGTCATCGTCTGGCTTTGGCAGGACATGTGATGAGGCATGACGAAGCCGCTGGTCGCGTCCTACTGTGGACACCTGTCGCCAATCGTCGGGTAGGATGTCCCAGTATTACCTTAAAGAAAGTCATTGATACTAAAACATCTCTTTCATCATTTGAGCTCATTTCTACTATGAGAGATAAAGAAAACTGGAGGAAGAACTTTGTAAACTCTTCACCAGTTCCGTAGGGATTGGAAGACCTAAGTAAGTAGTAGTATATATATATCAGTGTTCTCTCCCTAGGCCCTTTAAGAGTCATGGTACTGTGACATTTTGCACGTCCTGCATGATGCTTCACGCACGACCGTGGCATAAACAAGGCGCTTTACCATAAACTAAGTCTTGATATGAGGCTGAGGGAAGGGAGCTGTTTTGTTCATGAGAAAAACATCCTGGGATCACAGGATTTGAACCCAGAACCCTTGAATTGAAAGGCAAACACCTTAACTACCAAACTACAATACACAGTTCCACTCTATTAAAGGATACAAATAGACCACCTAGGAGACCACTTGTGAGGAGAGGCTTCCAACTGAAGAAGTATGATGACCAATTTCTACCTGCTTTTATTAACAACATTGTCTACCAAAAAATATTTTAAAAAAATACTTAAGGATTACTGTATGAGAAATGATGGAAAATTAATTACACATATATTTAATTTTATCAATTACCAATCAATCAATCAATTATATGGTGGTATTTATTGTCTGTGGTGCCGGTACAAAACTTTGAAGAAGCAAAATATGTTGAGTTTACATGACAAATATATTATATAATAATACTGTATTAGTAAATTAGAAATTTAATAAAAACATTATATAATTATTATACATTATTTTCAACCAATAAAAATTATGTTTGATAATAATTTGCTGTGAGCCTCAGTTTTTAATTTAGGCAAGAAGCAATTGCATACAACATTTAATTAAAGTCTACAAAATCACTAGTATTAAGATTATGCAATTGATAATGGAAACATTTTAAGTTTAAAGTTGTGAGGCACACTTAAGATCAATTGTAATTAAAGAAAAATCAAATTTTCTTCACTAAAGTACAGGAAATAGCCTTTTGTTAGATTTGGCAAAAATAGCATGGACATCCCAAACAAGAGTAAATCAATGCAATTTAAAATGAAACTATTTAATTGATAATTGCTGTACTTTTTTTTATGCATTTGCTTTATGAAATCATGAAAGGGACCTTCCTTTAAATTTACATCCTGGGTTTTGGTGCAATTTATAGGGAAAATGTGATCATACCGATAAGACAAATGATGTTATGAAGTAGAAAATAAATCCATAAAGCCCAGTGAGTCCAAGAATCCCTGCAGTAGCACCTGATAACGCAGACATTGATGTACGACTGAAGGAAAAAGAGATGTAAATGAAAATTCTGCAAATTATTTTGTGGTAAAAAAATACTTGATGGTGTTTAAAATAAATGTGTTACAGTATCAACTTTAATTCTGAATAATTATTAATCAAAATTACATCTACCCATCCATAAGACAACTACAGCAAACAGATGATATGTAGCAGGTCACACGGAAATTCTATGATTAGAATTAAAATATATTTCAAATATGAACCTTCACTACGGTAACAATTTTCATCAGTTTTTTAACATTACATAAAAAGAAATTTTTTGTAAAGTATTACAAGTGAACTGCAAGTTTCTTTCTCCCAGTATTTTATACCAAACCCTAATTTATATGAAACTGCTGTATATTTTCATAGAGGTCAGCATAGCTAACTGCAGTATTCTTCTTATATAGTCCCCGAAGATAATAATCAAAGCATTAACAATTATAAATATTTATAGTAAATATTTTAAATTTTGTTTTTATTTCACTAGATTTATTACTCACCAATAATCAATAACTGACTGGTTATTTCTCATGGCAACCTCATTCAAGATTATTTGTTCTGGAAAACAATTTTAACATGAGCATACAATACAATACATTTAAATGATAGTCTTAAACTTAACTGATTTTAAGCTACACATCAAATCATTATCATTCACATGAAAATACAAAATGATAATTAATATAATTATTTAATAAATTAAAAAATTAATAATAAATTACATAACTTTTCGTGGCTTTAAAATGCATTCTTTTTTCTTAATGTACCCAGCTGCCGAAATACACTGCAACCGGCTAGGCCTAGGCCCACCCAACCACCAGGGAAGGGGCTACTAAACTAAGCCCTAGCTCGACACGGCTGTTTAGAGAAACTTTACGCCTCGCCGAGGCTAGCGCTAGGCCCTAGCTAAGCTAGGCGACGCTCTAGGCCTAGCCTACACAGACTAGCCTGGCCCTAGGCCTACACTCAGACACTGCAGCAGAGAGGCCTAGGCTTACCCTCTGGGCCTCTAGAAGGATATGAAGTGGTGTGTGGTCTCACAACTATAATATATAATATACACATGCTACTATCACATAGCTTTGTATACAAAATACAACAGACTAACCTCTTTTAGAAGCTGAAGGAGACGGTGATATTTGCTGATTGGCCGCCATCTTTAATATTTCACGGGGATTTCCCTATCTGTTTGTTCGTTGTTTCTCTTCTCCAGACCATCAATTTAACATGCCCATTTTGGATGATGACCTATTTTGGTAAATTATGTTCAAAGCAAATTAGTTCTCTGTGTATTTTTATTCATGTTATAGTAAACATAAGTAATAAGTCATATTATATAAAATAAGTATAGAATATTTTGTTAACAATTGCTCTCGATGGATGATTTTTAAAGACGGTGCATCACAGATGATGGGGTTATCGCCCTCTCTTTAGTGGTACGGTCTCAGGGAACTTTTCCTACGATGCGATTTGTGCGACTTGACAATTTCATCATGTATGCAAACGAACAGGAACAAGCAAAGCAAACTGTAACTCTCCGTCAAAAGAAGCTAGCCCGGAAAAAGGTAGAGGCTAGGCCAGTTTACATTATATAAGTAACTTTTGTAGTAGTAGAGTAGAGCAGCTTGCAATAAACCTGACAAGCTAGGCTGCCCAGCTAGGCCTACTCGGTCTGATCTGACTGATCTCTAGCCTGACTGACTGGCTCATTAACTTGTCCGGTTGGCTAGACTAGAATCTAAAGAGGCTAAAGATAGGACTAACCTAGTTGAGGTAATACGGTTCTTATAGAGTACAATGTAAGCACCAGACGTTGGTAAAGCTTTTTTTCCACTAGGCGAATTTATTCGCACGAATCAAGAGCGTCAGTTCATGCGCATGCATATTCACAATTCCATCAGAGTTTTTCACTTCAGCAAAATCAGTAGTTCAAACTTTACTACTTTATGTGAAGCGAAAAAAATGCGCACCTATCAGATCTCAGAAAGCGAAGCGGCGCTTTCGATTTGCATGAATAAATTCGCTTAGTGGAAAATAGGCTTTAAGCGGTCATTACGCTTTAATGACTTCATAATCTTAATGGCATTTTAAAAAAACCTAATAATTTACCATCAAAAAGCCCTCAAAATGTACTAATAACACAAAAGCTCGCATTATAATATTAGTTAGAAAAAAAAAATTCTTGTGTTGGCCACGTTTTGGGAAAATCCAAAAGCTACTGTCTAGCAAGATAGGCCTATTCCAGCCTTTTTAGCTCATTAAAAAAATATTTCTCATACATTTTGGGTCTGGTCGAGCGTGGCCAACACATTTTGTGTTGCTGACAGCAACAGAATAGTATTACATGGTATCGTGACGTACCAACGTAGTACTTTATAGAGAGGATTCTTTGGCTTGTTTTCGTCATGTATTTCCATGGAAAATCACATAAAATCATGCGTTTGGCATTTTCATGCACATTACATAGGGTTAAAGTTGCCACTCGACTCATAAAGATCACAGGCAAATTGTATAGTAAATCATTTGCCGCTTTGTTTTCATCATTCTTCATTGTCTTAAGCAATCACTAAAGCCTATAAGATAAGATGAAACTTTATTAATTCCGTTTATATTTTTTTGGCATTAGTTTTTAAAACATTTTTTTAAAAATAAAATGAACCAATATATAACTCCAATGCCATGCATATTTATTCTACCTACAGGCATTTGGTCTGTTTGAGGCATCTAAACAGTTAAAAGCACATGTTGGTGGGAGGCAGTGGGTGTGTTGTGGCCTTAACTTCAGTATACCAAAAACAATGCACACTCATGTAGCAAAGCAGCACTGTGATGAGATAAATCATAAAGTTGAATATCTACTACAATATCCAAAGTTACTCACAGGTAGACATGGTAAGCTTATAAAAAAAAAATCTTATTCTTCATCTTGTGGGCCTAAGTCATCCATAGGCTTTGGCCCAGTAGTTAGAGTATTTAGGGTTTTTTAATGTATAAATATACAATACACGTCAACTCTCACGCATAAAGCGTGAGTCTCACTCATAAGCCACACGCATGAGCATCTATTTATTTCGTCTCACGCCTACTTCGTATTATCTCATGCATCATAACAATTTTTAAATATAAAATGTTTATACCCTAAAATTCTTAAAAATGAAGTGAATTCATCATTAAAATGTGAATACAGGCCATATAAATTTCTTTTAACAAAGCTATACCAACTGCCAACTGTATTCAGTAGCAGTTCCACCATACAATTTTAAAAAACAACATAGAGGGTGTTCTTTTTCGTGTTTTCTTCATAATATGATGCCATACCAACTGGCGACTGTATTCAGTAGCAGTAGCAGTTCCACCACTACAATTTTTTTTTAAAACATAGAGGGCGCAATATACCTTTTTTGTGTCGCCCATCAGTCGCCAACAAAGTTGGTAGGTATAATACAATAAACGTATTTAAATACTTTTTTTTTAAAATCATTAGTAGTATCATCAACAAAAGTTCTTTCGTTAAGTATTAATAGTATAGTGCTTAATTTACAATCAAAATTAGGATTACCATTAAAATTAAAGGTAAATTGTTTTTTTTTGGTTTTTTTTTACAGTTGTTCATAAGGAAGATGCACAAGCTAAAATGCCACCCACAAACTATGACAAGAGTCATACATTTCCATGGTTACCAAGTGAATATGATATAGAGCAGAAGATGATGTCAGAGCCTGAGGGTTGCCAGGTTCTCTTGTTTTATAGATACTGCCATCTTGAAGATCCACATGATATCTGTAGCTGGCAACAAGAGTTCTGCCAAAGACTTAAACTCAGTGGAAAGGTATAACCAAAGTTGTACAGTATATTTTTGATGTATAACTAATATAGAATTTTATTACTTTTAAATATTCATAACTAAGGATTGACGTTTTGGAATTATTACTTTTTGATTATATATTTAATTTTGAAACACACTCTTCAAACGTGGCACAAAGTGAATTGGTTATTACTCCAGGGGCAAATTGCTATAAAACAATCTTAACTGGTAGTCTTAACTCTTTGAATAAAGCTGGCTTTATCACTTAGACAGTCTTCTTACTAAAGTCATTCCTCTAAAGTTCATTGCTATGCAATGTATCGAAATGAACGTTAATAAACGTACCCCATTTTTACAGACGCTGATGTGTGCGGAATATTTGTTGTTCGATTCTCTGACTTTGACAATCTAGATCTTGCCATTGTACTGTTGAATTTATCAGTAGAACGCCATGATGAAAATTATTGAAGACAGCAGCATTTCGTGGTGCACTCCCCAAAAAACTCCCGCGCCAAGTAATCTAGTAGTTAAAAATCACCTTATTTTGCACGCTAGCACCCTCCCACCTAATCATCGACCTCCCCCCCCCCCCCCCCCCCCCCCCCCCCCACTTCACCTTTGCGACCCCCATCAGCCCTACTGGCCCCATAGTGCTGTGAACTATGCTTATGTTTTATGGCCCATAATTGTTGAAACGAAATTCTAAATATAATATAAAGGGAAATTTTGTTTGTTTTGTATGAAAGTAGATGTAGAATAGATTGTACTTATAGTTATTAAAACTTTGCATGACACCTATGATAATAGAATTACATTTTTTTACAGATCCGCATTGCAAATGAGGGAATAAATGGAACTGTAGGGGGCAGTGTTGCTGCAACTCAAATATACATGGATGCATTGATTTTACATCCCGCTTTTCTAAACATGAGCAAAGAAGATTTCAAAGTAAAAATTGTTTAAGCTTCCTTAAGATTTTTACATAGTATTTTTTAGTCTGCATGCTCTTATGTATGCTTAATCATGATAAATTATTTCGAAATTGAGTCGTTGGCATTCTTCTTTTCAGACAAGTAAAGGAAGTGCTGAAGATTTTTCAAAAGGATTAATGGTCAGAGTTTGTAATGAAATTGTACAAATGGGTATTGAGCCATCAGAAATCAGCCATATTGATGGAGGTAACAATCTTTCAAAAGACTACACAAAAGCATTAACTTGTCTGTTTTGGTTGGTGTAGGGAAAGTTGTAGGTTGATATTAGCATGGACCTATTATTAGCATACAATGGGTTGACAGATTCATGAAAAAGTAGAGAGTTTTGCATTATACATCTTGATATTGTGTGAATAGATGGATTACCTCATACCAAATTCAAATTCATATTGTTAAATAAGAGTGATAAAAACAAAAGTGTTGTGAACCAACTGAATATTCTATGTCCATTCCTCTTCCAGTTAAATTTCTTTCTAAATTCATCAGGCAGCAAAGAGAACTCATAATTTATAAATTATTTATATTCAAGACAACTGTTTCTTATCTGTTCCTCAGGAAATCACATCACTCCATCTGAATTTCATCAGGAATTAGAGAGAACCAAAAATAGTTCTTCAACAAACGATACTTTATTTGTAGACTGTCGAAACTATTATGAAAGTAATGTAGTAAGTTATTCAATACTACTTTCCTTTTTCATTCATACGATACATTATGTTATTTATATTTTAGTAGTGGTATGGTTGGCTCCTGATTGAATCAGCCAGTCATACCACTACTAAAATATAAATAACATAATGTAATGCAGCAAAAAGTAGAATTTTTTAAAGTTGATAACTTTGTTGGGAGTGCATAGTATTCAAATATTTTAATGAATTCTATCAATCTGCTTAGATTAGCAACTACATTTACTATATGTTCTGTGTATCTGTAATGATTTTGTTCTTACTACAGTGTAAAAGATTATTTAGTGTATCATATGCACAAATTAAAGCATTATTTCATTATCTTGTCAGGGGCGGTTTGAAGGTGCTTGCACACCAAATATTCGTAAATTCAGTTATTGGCCAGAGTATGTCGATCAGAATCTGTCTTTATTTGAAGATAAGCGTGTCGTGATGTACTGTACTGGAGGAATTAGATGTGAACGAGGATCAGCGTATTTACGTTCAAAGGTAATAACAAATTATTATTAAAACACAAATATAAGAAAGAAAAGCTTTGCATTAATATGTATCTCTCAAATTAATTTGGATTTTGTTTCTATACGATTCATTTTCCTTTTCAATTTATATTAACTACTGTTTATTTTTTATGTCATTTTGTGATATAATGGACCATTGCTTTTGCATTGATCTTGCCATCCAGAATAAAGTTAAAATGAATAAAAGAACTTTGCATAAAGTGAATTCATCGAGACAAATAAATGAAATGGTATGGAATAAAAATTATTGTTGGAGTTTCAGTGCTTTATTTAGGTGAGGTGTATCAAATATACAGTATGATGTACTTAGTCATGAGGCTAATAAATTGGAATAATACAGGTTGCTCTCCAATTCGCAAGTCCCTGTCTAATTCTGATATCTCTCTATCTAATTCAAGACTACTTTTTCAAAGTACCGACTAACAATCTTCAATCTTTTAACATAAAAACAACACTAATTGGAGACTGATCCCAAGGCCACATTTTCAAGTCCCAAAGGTGATTTGAATCCTGAAAAAGAAATCATTCATTAAAGTGAACAATATATGCTTCCCTCTATTGATTGGTTTTCTCTCCATCTCATCTGATCCTTCAGCAATAAAACACATTGTAAAACCCTTATGAAATGTATTTTAAAGGGAAAGGAACTGGTAAGTTTATATATAACTTATTTTTCACTGCAGGGAGTTTGTAAAGATGTTGTGCAACTAAAGGGAGGAATTCACCGATACATGGAGGAATATCCTAACGGATTATTTAAGGGAAAACTATTTGTTTTTGATGACCGGTATACTATTTCAAGTAATGACAGTGTCGTTGCAGGTCAGTTGAAAATATGATGTTATTATTAAGATGATTTAATGGTAAATATATTTAATTTATTATTTTATTATGCACAAAGCAGTTCTTTAATATTATAATGGGTCAAAAATTATAGAGAGCTCCCCATCTGTTCACAGAAGAATGGCAAAGGGCCCAATAATAGCATGACATTAATCGTGATATATAATTGTGTCACAGAAAGTGATATGACATCTGGGTGTGGGGGTTTGATGTCTTTGTTTCCCACCAATATAAAGCTTGATCTCCTGGAATGCCCTGGTGCCTTTGCTAAGCAAATGTATTAGACTAAAATAGTTAAAAATTACTTCATTCCCCTAATTACCTCTCATGACAATACTCCAAGATAAACCTCTGGTCATAAACCTATTTCATTTTGCCTCACTTTTTTCCACAGAATGTTCCTACTGTAATAAACCATTTGATCAGTATCAATCATGCAGCACACAACACTGTCACCAGCTTGTTTTGTCCTGTGACCCATGTCGTCTGCTTGGAAAAACAGCCTGCTGTGAGGTGTGTCAAGCGAAAGCAGCGACAAGTGATAAGGGATGCAAGATGGAGGAAGAATGTACATGTACAAAAACACGAATGAGAATACCAAATCAAACAAGTAACACATAAAATAATTATACAATTAATTAAATTATGAAGACTGTGTAAAGGAAAATATTTGTGATTATCAATAAATGATTTTATACTAACGATATTAAAATATTGTCCTCTATAATTGTGCATTTAGTCATAAAAGATAGAAAAAGGTTAAACAACTTGTGTTTTGGAAACAATTGGGATAATTTTAAGATTAACCATGCACCAACTCCACATACAAAATGAAATTGCATTGAAGCAAACCTAAAGCAGGCCATTCACTGCGGCCGACAGTTGTCGACCGACGTGATTCTATGAAGAACGCAACACCACGACGCACGTGCAATGGATCGTTTTGAATGACGATGCGTTCAGACGACATCAACAATCATCTGACGGAGTCTTATGGTCTAGCGCTCAAAGGGAGCAGAATTTGATTTTACGTGTGACGGTCGTACAACCGTCCTACGATGCAGTGAGTATCCGGCTTAAGATGATTCATTTTTCTGTGCAGGCCTCTACTACTAAAATCACATGCGAATGCCTTTGACTTCATTGTAACTACTGTAATTCGCATTCACATATATTTAGCAATTTTTAAAATGTTTCTCAAAGTTTTTGAAAAAACGATCTTTTTCTAATTTTAACTGCATAAATTTTCTACTGTGAGCTTATATGTTACCTATATTTATATCATGCTGTAACCTTGCAATTTCATTATTAAATAAAGTTATGAATTAATTGAATAGTTGGTTTGACTGCCTAGCAAAACAGAGAAAAAAAATTTACATGCCCTCAATTTATTCTTGCTTTGTATAACTCATGAATTAATTTCTAAAGTGGGCTCAATCGCGAGATAAATTGAAGCCCCCCCCCCCTCTTAATTTGCAAAATTAGCCTCGAAAATAAGCCCATCTCATAAAAAAGCCCATGGGCTTCTTTTCAAGATATAGCATAATCTTCTTTTTTCGAGATATTACAGTCACATAAACTGTACATCAATTTCAGAAAATCAAAATCAATTAAATACTGTTTAAGCTTGGTTTATACAGTAGTTAGGTGATTTAATGCCAGTTAAATACACTCCATGATACAGATTGATGTTACAGTGGCCTTATTTATTGTTTTATATTACAAATTCACAAAATGTACAGCATTCGTCTTGAAAAGGAGCCCCCCTTTGCAAAAGTAGTCTCGGAAAGAAGCCGATTTCGAAAAGAAGCCCATATAAGTTCGCACAGAAAAGAAGCCCAGGGCTTAATTCGAGGTTTTACGGTAATTTCTTAAACATAAGGGTGACATAATGTGACAAGAAAATGCTGTGTCATTCATGGAAATAAGTGGTGAATTGGTTGATCGAGACAATCAATAATGGATTATCCACTACCCTTGACATTTTTAATGATCTGGGAAGCACAGATCCCTGAATAGGTACAGTATATTGCGTTTAATAGGCCTAATTGAGGGGACGGGGGAAAAGGACGTTATCCATTCGGTAATTAGACGTCTTGGTCATTTTTCAATTATATTTGAATGTTGCTTATGATTTAATATAGATAACTCGTGTACAATGCCATCGAGCATTGAAACATTTTCAAAATGGTGTAATGTGACAGCCTAAGTGTGTTTACGATATGTTGGTATAGGGATAGGCCTACTGATAGTTGCGTAAGTTGGCCTATTACAAAGTTTGTATTTATGGAAATTAGTAATGAACGTATAATTTTCTTAGATTTATAAACTAGCCACATACATATTGAAATAGTTACTTAGTATAGTAAACTTTCATTAACTTTACTGATTAATTATCTATCATTAGAAGCCCGTATGTATTGGTCGTTTACGAAGTAAATATTATTTCTGATCCTCCCCACCCCCAAACTCACCAGATCGTTGATTTCTTATAAAAGTTCGTGTTTTTGTCCGATTTACAATCAATATTTAGCATTTCACAATATATTTCAAAATGACGGTTGTAAACTTGAAAAACATTTCTTTGTCAACGATTAAATGATATGGACATACAGTACGTCTACGAAAGTCGTTCTCCGGTACAGCTAATCCGTACTTTGGAACAACAGATGTTTAGGCAATGGTCTCATATCCATAGTTGGTCCTTGGCCAGGGAACATACAGGATAGGTACATGGTTATTGTACTTTGGCTGGGTTAAGTCAGGGTTAAGTCATGGTTAAGCAAACACTGCAACAAGGTGTGTCCACAATCCCTTCCAGGGTTTAATGTCGTTACGGGCATGCATTTTGCATCTTTAACAGTGGAGCGACGTTCAGATTGTCTGGGTAGGTCGTGGGATCTTGCAGACGTTGAGAAATTTACTTTAACTTTGATGTGTATGTTCATTGTATGAAGAATTTTATTGACTTAACCAAACATAACTGTAAATCGAAATAGACTAACTTTATCATCAAAAGCAACCGAAATGGCTGGGTGCGAATCCCGATTGGTTTTGCACATTATTTCAAGTTCAAGTTCATTTCGCATACTCTTAAGTGTTACTCTTACTCTACGAATTTTATAATTGATATCACAAAGATGTCTTCTAAAAGACACATTCAGTCAGGAATAGTACCGTGACAGAGGTAACGGCAAACAATTCAGTTAAAGTGCAGCATAATTGAAACAAAAACCATAAAAATTCATTTTCACCATGCTACATGCTAAAATTCTACCTTACCAGACCACTAAACGCAAAGAACTCTTGCTCTGACCCCCACCTGGCTTCCTGTGACCTTCATACTATGAATCCCCTTAATCAGTTACAGGCTTGACATACAAGAATTTCGCCTCGTCATTTACACACTTGAATCTGATCTCTCTCATTTAGACATTAGGCCCATCAAAAATGTGTGTATCACCCCCTCCCTCATCACTTTTGGGAAAATTCTGGGGGTTTTTTTTTTCAATCACTGAACATATATTTTTATTTCAAACGGTCGTTTTTCCATCTTTTTTCACTTTAAAAGCTCAGGATTTCTTGCAGAAATGTTTACTGGTACAACTAAAACATTTTTTAAAAATATAAATATATATATGTGGCCCGTGTATAAACATTCATCACCTGTCATCCAGATTGTGATGGTATGGGGTGGGGGTGTGGACTTTCAACAATCGGTTCGACTCCCCGGAGCGAACGCATCATAGGGCATGCAAAACAACTTTATTGACTTAAGCTTTGGAATGACTATCGTGAATACAGTGTGTAAAGGGCACGTGTGATTGGTTTATTCTTATCCAGTTGCATTGGGTAATACAATCAGACCATACAGTAATTTGAACAATAGGAAATAGGTTGAAGGCCAGGAATTTAGAATCCGTTTCGGCAAGCTCATATTATTGTGGCTACGAATTTTATAATTGATATCACAAAGATGTCTTCTAAAAGACACATTCAGTCAGGAATAGTAAGGGATATAATCGTAGGATTACTTGTGATGGCTGCTTACTTCTACGTAGGCTGGAATTATTTTCCAATCCAAGCAGATGGTTTAGAGTCCGCCTGGGATCGTCTCATTTACACTGCCCGCTGGCAGATATTGGAGGTACTTCTTTTGATCGTGATGGTTATGGCGGTAGCCAACACTCGTCTGTTATATGTTGACAAGATCGGAGATCCAACAAAACCAATTCCAGGATCACACATTATTACCGTGCACTGTCGAGTTCTCCAGAATACTCTAGAGCAAATTGTTATACGTGTGCCATCCGAACTGATTCTCTGCACGTACCTGGAACCCGGCTCTATGAAGATCCTTCCGCTGCTGGTGATCCTGTTTGTATTGGCGAGGCTTATTTTCTGGTTCGGATACATCCGTGACCCGTATCAAAGAGCTCTAGGGTTCGCGATGACGTATATGCCAACAGTGTTAATCACGATTTACTGTGTATTTTGCCTCTTCAACAGTGGGGCGACGTTCAGTTTGTCGTAACCATGGAGAGTGACTAAACGACGGATCACGACAAGAAGGAATTATCCGATATTTTAGTATAAAATAACTCACACAGACAATACGAGCCCATTGGGGATTTTCTATTTTATAGGAACTTTCCTGTCAGTTTAACAAAAGTAAACTTTGGGGCATGTAAGCCCTTATCAGTGTGCAAATATACCAAATCTTCTTAGAAATAAACAGCCGATAGATCTGTTCTTAGATGTATTATTTTATGATTAAAGTCGACGAAAGAAACAATGCGTGTGGCATACTGTAAACTATCAAATCTTATTCAACAATGCTGTTCCATGCAGTTGGGCATACGGTGCAGTATGAAAACAATCGTCACTCTTTCAGTCGTGATCTAAATCATTCGACGCAAGAGTACAAACATAAGTTGAAATCAAAAGTAACCATGTCATTAATTCACCGATGACGATAGGCCTATGATAGTATTTAAAAGCTCTAAAAACTAATGTTACCTAAATGATACAGTGGCGGATCCAGGAATTTGAAATAGAGGGGGCCCAAGGCAGGACTTTCACAGATAGGTGTCAGTCGTACCTCAGCTCCACTATGGTTGAGGATCAGGCAAGGAAATTTATGATTATGGCACCCCTAGACGGCCGGAAACGTTGCTCTCAGAATTAAGTTTGAATATAATTGTCGCTTTTTTCTCCATTTTTTATAATTTTGAAAATTAGAGGGGGACCCGCTGGGCTGCCCCCCCCCCCCTTGAATCCACCACTGTAATAGTGGTTGAAATTCTGTTGATAATATTGTTCTCTTGGCACATTCATAAATCCTCAATAGGGGTGTGCCCTTAAACATGTGGGTCGTAGGTTCAAAATATATTTTCCTTAATTTCGAGAAAGTGTTCCCTTTTTATATACACTTCCTCAAGGGTTTACGTACCTATGCGATCAAAAAACAAAAAAAGTTTTGTAGGAGACTCGTTGCTGAACCCCATCACTTTGAGGTTCAAATAGACTTGTTTTTTAATATTACTAATTGAAATCATCTTAACAAATTATGACGTCGGATTTTCTGTGTGTGGCTTAACCCGTACCGCTGATGGACTTCCGACTCTCTGCACAACCTACATTCATGTTTGCATGACAATGTATTAAAAGTTCTTACACCTAAGTACTTATAACAGTACATAAATACTTTGCGAAAAAATACTTTGACGAGGCATCAAAAAATTAATATTATGCGCAGTTTAGAATGTCTGGGTTGTAAAATGATGTCACCTCGTCAAAACGTCTCGGATGATGAAATGTTCTGTCGGCGAAATTTCATGTCGGCGGTTGGGCTCGGCATCGTAATTAATGTCCATTTGACTTATTACTGTTTGTCGACAATTAACATCCCCTCATAACATCTTTGCAATTAAAATTAAACGATTAAATTTCTGTCATGTCCTCATTTGCATCAACTGTAATAATTATAATAAGCGCATACCGTAATAAATACAATAAATAATAAATTAAAAACTTTACAGAGGTAACAGCAAATAAATTTATTTTCGGTGGCCACGCCCACTGAAAAATCTGTGTATGGGCCTGCAATATATTGTAAAAAGACCCTAGTACCTGTCTCTTATACACATCTAGATGTGTATAAGAGACAGGGGCAAGCTTTTTTGGGGGGGGGGCGTACCCCCTCCCCCTTGGATATGCCACTGGACACAAGAAAATAGAAGGTCAGGAATAAGAAATTCGCCTCGTCATTTACACACTTTAATCTAATTTATTTAGACATTAGGCCCCATAAAATTAACGGTATCTGATTACAATGGGGCTCAACCCAACCATTGGTGGCTATGACAAAAGAAAATAGAAGGTCAGGAATAAAAAATTAGCCTCGTCATTTTCACACATTAATCTGATCCCTCTCATCTAGACATTAGGCCTCATAAAAAAATTATTAGTTTATCACCCACTCCCTCATCACTTTTGGGAAAATTCTGGGTTTTTTTTCAATCAACATTATATTTTTATTTCAAACGGTCGTTTTTCCATCTTTTTTCACTCAAAAAGCTCAGGATGTCTTGCAGAAATGTTTACTGGTGCAACAATAACATTTTTTAAATATAAATTTGATTTTATTCTTATGAATTTTTATATATCTGTCCCTAACCATTGATTTACTTGTGAACATCGGTAAAATGGGGGCGGGGTTAGCAAACAAAACAAAAATAAAACAAAACAAAAAAACCTCCCTCCCTCAGTTTTTATTCTTCAATATTGTGATAAACTAATATATATATATATATTTTTTTTTTTATGGGGCCTCACCGTAACGGGAATACTTGATCATGTCTACTAAAACATGCATTCAGTCAGGAATTGTGGGATTACCGGTACTTATGATAGCTGCTTACTTATACATCATAGGCTTGGATTATTTCCCTATCCAGGCACAGGGGCGGATTTAGAGGGGGGTGAGGGTTGGCCGGCCCCACCCACAACCCCCCCCCCTTTGGAAAGTAAAAAAAAAAGAAGGAAGGAAAAAAGAAATAATTGGTTATCGCCCAAAATGCCTCAGATGTATATTTTCGGGCGTCCAGAAACAAAAAAAGTTCTCGGGGGGAAGCCCCCGGGCCCCGCTTTCGGCACCCCACCACCCTTTCGGACATCTCTGGATACACCCCTGAGGCAGATGGTGGAATTCGTCTTGGATTGTCTCATATACATTGCCGGCTGGCAGATAATGGATGGAGGTCAGGGCAGTGGCGCCAGGATTTGCCCGACGGGGAGGGGGGCGATGCCCCGACAAGGATTCAGATTTCCCCGACGAAAGCAAAGTGGGCGTGGTCGAGCTTCGATTAAAATTTTGACAATTTAGGGGTTTCAAAGGCTATACAGTATATATACTTATTTTTATTTCATATTGCATTTTTAAAATAATGACGGGACTCGTCGTCTTCACACTCTTCCCACATATGCCTGCTGCATGAATGTCTATTTACTCAACAAATACTTTAAGGGTCACGTAAAAAAACAAAGACAAAAGGAAACAAACAAATAGTGGCTCACAACCACACTTGAACAGGTCGAGAGAAGCCACTTGAATAAATCTTTGCTGACGTACGTGAGAGGAGGGTGGTACACACTGTCCACTTTGTGTCATAATCTTCTCGACGATGAACACATGCAAAGTAATAATGATTTACGTATTGCATATTAATTTCACACACTTAATTGGGTTTACAATTATATTTTATAATTAACATCACTTATTATGGACAGCGTATTAGAATTCTTATATAATCGAATATTTGCGCGCGTGCGTGCTCGCGTAAATTATTGAAATGAATTAGAATTTCTTTTAATTATCGTTAATTTGTCACATTTTAATTAACGAAAACGGAAGACCCAACGTATTTTAATTAAAAATGTAAATTAGCTAATAAGTATGTATTTTATTACGCTCTTCGTTCCCCTGAGATATATGTATATATATATATATATTTATATGTATATATATTATTGTTATTGTTGTTGCTGTTATTATTATTATTATATTATTATTCTATGCTTTTGACACAAAATGGCTTCTAAATTCTCAATGTCTGGAGGGTTTTCAGTAAGAACGCCACCAAGAGCCCTTGTTATTAAAACGTTACCAATACTCTTTGACGTTACTCTTTGAGACGTTACCAAAACGCGCAGTCATTGCGTGGTAAGTGCGATGGTTGGCGTTCTGTGTTGAACTTTTTAATATAGGCCTAGGCTTACAGCAAATTGGGGACAATCTTAGGTAAGCATGAACATATTGTTTATGAAGAAGTACCAGTACCTGCTTGATATAATATTTAAAATGTAGCTTTTGGAAATCGCGCATTAATAGCAATAGGCCTAGGCCTAGGTAAGAACTTAGGCCTATGTATTGAGCCCTCGTCATGTCATCGAACGAAGCAGCCATCCAGGTAGGGTAGTACTATTAGCCTAGTAGGCCTACTTCTTCGTACCTGTAAAATGCTGCAACGTAACCTGAGAGATGCCGAGCCTGGCTAAAATCAACGTCTGACTTGAATAGCTGGGCTAAGTATTTCTAGTAGTAGTGTATAGGCAATAAAAGTAGACTACCATAGGTTTCACCATGAGCAGACTCAATAAATAGGCTTAATATAATAATATAGGCCTAAATAAAATTTAGCTGACATTTAATTTAACTTAGGCCCTACTACTACTACTACTAGGGCCTAGGCTAGGCCCATACACAATTCAGCATAGTGACGCTGCGAGTTTAATGGGTTATATTAATTTACATTTCAAGACTGGCATTGCAGATCACCCATCCATAATGAGCAGTGAAACGCGTACAATTTAACGTAAAGAGTTCACAATACTGTACTGAATACTTTCATCTTTAAATACAGGCTTGTAGGAAGCAATTTGCAAAAACATTTTTCTTGGGAAAAAGTGGAGGGGGGGGGGGCAATGCCCTCCCGGCTCCCTCGGTTCCTACGGCCCTGAAAAAGGCATAATATTCATTTCATTTATCTATATATAGCCATGGGTGACAGACGATCGGGCCCACGAGACGATCGGGCCGAAGAGATTAGACCCATTTTCAGACGATCAGGCCCAATTGTTGAAAATTGTTATTTTATTCCCTCGATATAAAATTTCGTTCCTCGTCCTCGTCCCCGTCCCCAGAATCGAAAATTTCCAAAACATTGCCTAGGCTTGGGTCAATTTCGGCCGCCGAATGCCAAAATGTATGGAGCGCATTGTTGCTCGTTTTTTTTAGGCCTAAAATAAAATATTTATTATATTTATCAATAAAAATGTTTTTCTATTTTGTGAAACATGAGTAAATAATATGCGTTTTGTGTCAACTCACTTTTATTACTGTTTTTGTGCCACTTCAAATGTCGTAGGAATAGGCCTAACTATGAACAAACGCACATAGGCCTAAAATAAAATTAAAATAACTTTCCAATAAACAAACGGTTATAATTTATAATTGTACATAATAACACAATGCCTACAGATATACAATCCTGCAAAATTTCAAAGGGGTTCTAAAATTTACTGCAAGTTACAAACGTGCAAACTTTAACTCCAAAAAAAAACAGAAAAAAAAACAAACAAAAAGTGAAAATTTCAAGTTACGTTGTTTTGCCTAGTAACGGCCGAATATACGTATAAATTTGTCTTATTTACATGTATTAAAATAGACCTAAATTAGATACGCCACTGTCTAGGGTGCCATATTTTCAAAATTTGTTATTATCGACCCCTCCCCCCTGCTTTTTCTATAATGGCCGGACTACTTTCAAAATGCTTCCGACGGCTATGATATGCATGTGATTAGAGTGTCTAGTGCGCGAGGGTGGTATAAAGCTGAAAATGTGTGTTGTGTGTTACAGTAATATATGATGATGAGCCAGCCTATGCTGCAGTGCACTCCCTCATCATAGGCTCTACTTCTATCATTTCAGGGAGAAATGGAGGAAACTGGAACAGTTCAACCACGGGGGAGGATTAGACGAGTTACCTATAGTATTACTGGTATGGTTCTGGGTCTGTCGATTTTAATTGTCTTTCTAGTTGTCGAAAAATTTCGTAACTATCATGTGGCTGTTTGGGGTGCAGTCAGTGGTAAGTATCAATGAAAAGGTATAAAATATAGTATAAAGTTTGTATTTGATTTTTAAAAAGATTATTAACTATATTGAATATTTATTGGATACATAATATTTTGTCGTAATGGTGAAATTGAAAGTTTTGTAAATTGTGGAAGGTTTTCTTTTTTGTTTCTCACAATGTATAACGTTTTTTTTTTTTTTTGCAAATCATTCCAGGGATTTGAGTCACCAGTATTTTGTCGCTCCTTAATGCGAAATTACAATTACATAGGCAAAACATGTACAGTAACTCCAAATGCAGGAATTCAAACTTGTTCTTTATATGTAAATGCCCTCATAAAGAGACTTGCTGTTAGATCTGAATGAATTTTAAAAAGGGAGAATATATAAAAAGAAAATAAAAAACATGGTTACCTAAAATTTAAAATATTTTACACTGTAGACATACTGTTGATAATATTAATTTCTTGCGTTCATTTCAACCCTTAGCCTTATTTGCTGCTGTTTCTCTAGTTCTCCATCTTCAACACAACAATGATACAAGCAAAGAAAGGTGGATTCGTCGCTTGTCACTCATTATGCTCATAGGCTTCGTGACCCAGATGTGTTGCATCGTTGCCTTCTTCACGTATATCATAATGGCAGCAGAACAAAAACAAGGTAAACTAACAATTTAATATAGTGTTTTCAGATACTAAATAATTGGAAAAGAACTTACATGTCAAGTGGTGTAGTGGTTAATGCAGGAGTGTCACAACCCGGAATCTTACATCTGTGTGGGCTCGTGACCATCAACTTGCCAGAAGATATAAATGAGGAGTTGTAGTTGTAGTGGCGTAAAACAGGGGGCCTGAGACCCTTTTGGAAAATGTTGTATTTGTATTCTATTTTGTCTTATTTTAATACATGGCATTAGTAGGTATTGAAATTGAAATATGTAGTGGGAAAACAGAGGGTATGCCCTGCCTACTGTGGACTAAAGGTGTAGGATTGAGTTTGCCCAAGCTCTTCACTACAAGAAAATGGTGCTACACTATACTTTAGTATACTCATAACATTTTACACATTTAAAATTGTTAGTGGAACTTAAATCTATAGGTTCAGGCAGAAAGTGTACATAAATTGTCGGATCTATAAATGCATGCATACTGTATCCTGGACACAAATAAGCAAACATGAGCTTCGAAAATAATGCAACACAATAGAGGTTTGCAACGAATATGCATGTCCATGTCCATAGGATATCTTTGTTGGTATCGATGGTAACAAAATTCACATACAATACCGCCATCATGTGAATTATTTGCATATCTTGTTTATGTCACTCAAAATATATGACCCCTTGTGTAGAGAGAAACTAATGTGTAGGACACAATGTGACTAGTGTTGGACTTAAACCTATGACTTCAAATCTTTTACAGTACAATACAATAAATAATTATTATTTCTTGTTAATTTTTGCCTCTAGCTGTGATACCGGTTAATTGTCGGCATTGTGGCTACTATTTGGCAGCAGTATGGGTATTCATGACATGGAAGTGGTCATTTCTCACGTTTTTTTATGCAAGGATGTATCGTAAAATCTACCTGGGCCATTATGCAGAGGTTGTTGAATCAGCATAGAGTACCACAGTCGTGTCGTCACGTTGGCTACCATTCGTTACACCTGAATGACTTCATAGGCTTTCTGGAATAGGCATTTTAAAATCTAATATTTTACCATTAAATGTACAAAAAACACAAAAGCACGCATTATATTAGTTATCGAACACACATTTAATCAATTAAAATTTACAAATAAAAAGTAAGATACAACAGCTTAATAATTATATTTGAAATTGGGATCAATTGTTTGTCAGTAAAGAAAATGGCATCCTGTTGAACGCTTTTTGTAACGATAGCAACGGAGTAGTATCACATGGTATCGTGACGTAACACTGTAGTACTCTATAGTGTTTGAAAGATTTCAAACAACAAATGGTTTTAATGAAAGCAATATCATTATGTTGTAAATAATATTACAGAATACTTGATATTCAACATACTATTTCAACCAATGTTCAAAAAATTGACTTTTATATTACTGATGTGGTTTTTAAAAATGTATTCAAACTTGACTTAAAGAAGTCTATCAGTTTCTGATTATCTTTAGTTATTATTGTAAGGTTGTACTTGAATATATTATCTGTAAAAAATATTGAAAACCCTCATTCATTTAAAATAGCTGATTTAGAAGAATCGTGTAAGTAAATACTTCCAGTTTTCCTTAAATTCCAGTGGTAAACCTATAGAAACAAATACATTTTTGCTGATTCACAGACCTTGCTATAAAAATCCTTCAATCAAATCAGTCAAGGTAACGTCTACACAAAATACATTGGAGTGGAATAAGCCAACTGGTGATTTGAACTGCACATGCATGTATCCAGTGGTATCAAAAGTCAATCAACACAAACCTATGTTATGTATATGTTTGTTTATGTGGATTTACCTTGAAACAAGCATGCACAGTTCAAACTACGAAATTGGCTTATTTTTTATATGCTCATTAATTGGCTTATTTTTCAAAGTTTAAATTGAAAGCTAATACCTTGGTTAAATATGTAAAGTAAGCAATGAAAAATGTTTTTTGTTAGGATTTTTTAATTCAATACAGATAAGCCAAATATAAACAATGACATTGAGTCTGGACAATATTGAATCCTAATGTCACTATTCCATTGTTTACAGTACCGTATGTAGTTATTTAAGGTATTCATCCTAATAACTTTTTTTTTTTTTTAATTTTAAATCCAGGCACATGAGCCAAAGATTGCCATTAGTGAACTTAATCACTATCCTACTATTTATAGGTGGCAGTCCATTTCAAAAGACAAACATACAGACAAGAAGCACTACATAAACTAAGTATAGTTGTTTTTTGGTCATATGAAAAAATCCTGTAAATTTGACAGAAATTGAACCCAGGATAATGGGATTGGAAGGCAACTATTTGAACCACCAAGCTACTCAAATCTAGCCTCTATATATTGGGTTCTCTGTTGGTTGCCCATGCATCCTTCAGAGCTGCTAGATATAGTAGGTGTAACATCTTTTCCTACTCTCCATTATTAATGTTTATTATATTGAATCTGTTGATGTCCAAGCTATTTAAAAATTTCCATAATAATAACAAATGCATTTTATCTTTGACAAAAAGGAGTTCCTTCCTTCCTCGTGTCAAGTTAACATCCCTCAACTCTCCTTCCCTAGATTAGCTGTGATAAGTAGGTCGGAGTCCAACTTTTCTATGATATTTATTTTAAGCACACAGAAAGGATATACTCAAATACGACCATTATAGGACCATTTAGGATTGGCATGAGCAATAACTAAAAAATCATCTACAACAACATCAACAAGATCAATAATGTACAAGATGATAAATAATGAAACAAAGTCAAGACAACTTATTAACATTTTAAACAAAACCAAGTTTTAATATATTTTATACTTCTCTAATCTCCGACTATCTTGTATTTTGGATTAAAGGTAATATTATATGATCAAAACAAGTGGTTGCATAGGTTGTTGATTAAAAGTTATGTAGTAGCTTCAGTGCTATATATTTTGTTTTTTATATATATACATTTATACATTTGATTATATTTTAATGCAAATGATGATAAAAGTACTCCAAAGTTTATGAAACAATATAGATATTTATTAAAGTGTTGAAATTATGATTTTTTGAGAGAGAATTTTTTTAAATATTGTGGTCGAGCAAAAAAGTAATATAGGGAAAAAAATGTAAAAGGATACACATTTTTTGTATTTTCATATATAAAAAAAATTTAATGTAGAATGATTCAAATAAAAATTATGTAAATAATAAATACATCTATAATCTTTGGAGTTTGTTTATGGAATTATTGGTCATGTTGATTTTTTAATTTATTTGTATTTGAAGATATACAGTATATGGTTAGTAAATACAGCACAGTAGTTAAATCAGGATAATCCCTCTGACAACTGAATTTAAAACATGAAATAGATCAAATAAGTCCTCAACTTCCAATGAGTTGGAGATCAAATTATGTATGTTGAGCTTAAAGTTGTCAATAGTAAGTGTCTGACCTACTAGTGAGAGGAGCTTAGCTCAGTTGGCTAAACTGGTGGTACCCACTGTGTGTGCGCTGAACCGTGGAGGTCTTTACATAACCTTGTTCCCCTGTTCAATTCCATTCCTGATCTCAGTATTTCAGCTGGAGAGCTGAAATACAATTTTTAATATGCACAATAAATACATTCAATGCTTATCACACTTCAAGGACTCGTACGTATATCCCTTGAACATATTTACTGCAACAACTATGGACTGGAGTAGGGTCATCCAGGCAGTGGTGGCTCCAGAAATTTGCCGACAAGTGGTCTGACCGAGGGGCCAATTAAAGCCTCAGTCAGGGTTCTGGAATAAAAATCCTTGGTAAGGTTCATGTGTCGAAAGTTTATATGGCTTTTAGTAAAGCCCAAATTATGCTTTTAAGACCACAATAATAGGGATTGGTAATCAAAATGCCATTACTGTATTTTGCATCCTTTCTGACCACCCACTGGTACCACCATAACTGCATCCAGGGTGATGTAAGATCAGTAAGGCACCAAGGTCTGTATTCCAATTAAACATCTCCTGTATTTTGCTCGAGTCCAAGAGCCTGTTAGAATGTTGAGGCACTGATTGTATGCCCCCCAGTCCCCATGAAAGGAGAATGTTGTACTTTGTGCCAGATTATGTCTATTCAAATTTTTGATTGAAAGTTGATTGATTGATTGATTTATTTATTTTCCACATAATAACTTAAGTAAATGTACAAATTAGGTTATTCAAATATGGAATATAATTTTTCAATTTTTTAGCTCATGACAAATAGTACATCTTTGACACTGCCAGAACTTGTTTTAGGTTCCTTCCTGTGTGCCAAAACAAGTATACATGTACAAACATACTTCCTTTAAATTTTATCTACAGTAGTCGTGTATCATCAAAACGGTGTGTCTAATAAATTGGGGGATAAGTAAACTCTTCACTGGCAATGGGACTATACTTTTTATTGCCTCTGCAAAGTGTGAGTTTTCTCCTTTGCTTTTTGCATGGGTTGGTATATGTTCAGAGGGCGCCCGCACTCATGCAATCGAGTGTACTGCCGGCAACATAACAAAACCAACCAACATACATTGTATGTTATCTAGGTGTATCTTCCCCGAGCTATCAGCTGTCAAGTCTGTGGTTCTACAATGAATAACAATAAAGTAATAAACACTAGGATGTTACCCGGTTTTGATGAGTATAGTCATCACTAGCACCTTCAGCAACACCCTGTGGGTGTATAACCATCGCTGGCAGCGAATGTGTTAAAGGTTGTTAAGACCAGACTCAAAAAATTAAAACATCTAATTTATAGCAAAAAAGTCGAGCATTTTTTATTGTCTCAAATATGAATTGTTTACTTCTTATTAATGAATGAACAATTACCAAAGTGAACAGCAGAATAATCATCAAATCATTAAACTAGAATACATTTGTTTTGTCTTAATTCACTAAAAATATTAAGCAACTGATTTTAATCACAAACAAATCAACATTTTAGGAGAGTAAATTTTGAAACAATATTTATTGAAGCTACAAGCTCCATGGCTGTTTTAAATATTTAAAGCTATCTAAACTTCTTGCATTATTTTGGTTAGTCATGCTTAATATATGGATTATTATAGCTCTATGCTATAACTCATTTTTTAAAATGAAATTCACTAAAAGATACTGTGGGGCAGCTTCCAGCACCGTATGTAATACACCTAAGGGCAGTAACATCGAATACACAGCACACAATAATGAGAACCTACTGTACACCATGCACACACAGAAATGCATCACAGTCGATGCAATATATCATAGCAAAACACCACAACAACCTATAATGCTGCTATAGTTTTAAAACTTGCAATACATTATACAACATAATTGATTAAATGTGGTACATAATGTATTGTAACCAATGTTTCTAAATGCCTCACAGGGGATGCTACATTACCATGGCTCAGAGAACATGCTACATAGTAATGACCAAATGGCTTGTAAGACATGCTAAAGTACCATGCCTCGCATGTGCTACACAGTAAATAACGAGGAAAGATTGACAAGTAGGCGTAGATTATTAAGTGATATTATATCTATGATCAAGCATGAATTTGCTGTCAAAATAATAATGTTATTTATATAGCATAATGCAATACCTAACTGTCTTCCTCAATTATAAGTTTTATGCCTCAACACAGCTTAAAATTTAAATTTGTTTTTGCTTACTTTCTTCTTAACTCCTATCGAGCAGCTTAACCTATTTACTGTTTTGTAACAATGATTCTATTTTATGACAATTCTAACCATAATTTTACCATAGACCTACATCAACTAATAATAATGACCATTTCCATCAAGCAAAGCAGAGGTAAAACAAATGCAACAACCACTTGCAGTAATTGAAAAACAATTTCTTTGTCCTCTAATTTGCTTATGGTGTAAAATTTTGTAAAAGTACCTATTAAGTATCTATTATTATTTTTAGTATTGTTATTTGCGCATTATTTCAATTACAAGATACTGTTTTCTGTACTGATAAACCTCTTCACAAATTTTACCTAGCAACTTTTGAGTCAACTATACAGGTCCATATAAATCCACTGTTCCTAAATAACTTTTCTGTAATCACTACACACCCTGGAATACTCTGTACCCTGAATCAAATTTGTGTTGGTATATAAGGCAGGAATGTAAAATAGCTGACATACTGAAATTACTCCACAAAAACAGAGGTTTTCAGTCCTCTGGAAGCAATTTCCGCACCTTGTCATTTGACTGGTGGATTGGCTGGGATCAAGAAAGTGTGCTAAATTCTTAAATTGTTCAACATATAATATTTGTATAAAAAAGAAACCCTTGCATTCATTGCATCACAACACAATCCAAATATATGTACAGTAGCTACATACTGATTGGTCAACACAAATGATTAAGGAGGCCATTTAAAATGGCAGTGGCTATTGGCACTGCCGCAGTGCGAAAAAAAGCTGATGTTTTCTATCAAAAGTTCATGATTTCCATTGGCACTGGCATGGTACGAAAAAAGCTGTTATTGTTTATATTCACTATTTTAAAAATTGAGTCCAGATTTCTCATATTTTTGCGTAAAATGGGTCCACATTATTTGAATTCACTTGTAAAGTGGGTCCACCCTGATGTTGCCCCACACTGTTTGAAAACCATGGCTACGGCATTGCATTTGCATACATGAAGACACATTGGCGATGTTTTTTTTCACACTGTGGCAGTGCCGATAGAAAACAACAGCTTTTTCACACTGCGGCAGTACCGATAGAAAACAGCAGCTTTCTTTCGCACTGCGGCAGTGCCGATAGCCTCAGCCATTTAAAACAGTGATTTCATACTGGTTTGATTATACTGTAAGTAAGCAAACATGATTGCAGAAACCATAATTTCACACCTTAGAATTATTCTGTACTGTTTAAGGTTTTATGAGCAATTTGTTTTAACACCATATGAAATAATTTGTTTTCCTATCAAAAATACTTCTACCTACATCAAATCCAAACAACATACTGATACTCAGAGCTAAAAACTAATAACAATAATAATAATATATCACAAAGCTTAACCAACATATTATTCTTTCAAGTCCTCCATTATAAAACTGTTGCTCAAAAACCTGAGCATTGTTTTCATTAAACTTTCTAATTTGGAGGATAATAATCAACAACATTTTTATCAACAGGAAAGAGTATGGTTTGTACTCTTTTTGAAATTATGAAAACATTTATGACCTCTTATAGATGTCATTTAATTAAGCGTTAGGCATTCCAAACATATCATTACTTTTGCCTTAAGTGTCTCGGTGGGAATGTTGTGAACAAAAGCACACAAACTTGTGACGGGAATGTTCAACATATCAAAGGCATAAAACCAAGGAATTTTTACAGTACCTAAATATTCAGTTATGTCAAAAAAATTATATAACAGCAATTAATAATTGAATATTATATTATAAAGATAACATTCTATAGCCAATGTAAGTTAGAATTAAAAATGGAATAACTTCGGAAATTACTGTACTAATTCACTCCTTCCAGGAAGCCAACAATGTAATTAATTGTTACACAATTTTAATATACTGTTAATAGCATTTGTAACGGCAGTGAATCCAAAATGAATAATTATTAGGAGCAGGATAATAATATATGAGATTTATATACAGCCACACCTCCTGAATTTATACTGATCTCAGAATTATATTTAATTTCAGGAAGGAATACTATTCAATGAAAACAATATTTTTGTTGGTCTTTCCATTTCTTTTCTGTAAATTTCGCAACTGAATCGACTCTGAAATTTAGCAAGTCAATAGAGATTCTAATACTATATACACAACATTAAAAGACAATCAATCGAACACCCTCCTCGTTCCTAATAACACATGTGAATTTCCTAAAAGCTAATCAATAATTGTTCTTGTTAGCCATTTAAATTCTTTTACAAATCAAATATTTCATAACCTTTACCTATCAGCTCCACATTGGAACAAGATATTATTGACATCCATAAATAATTACATTCTCAATATTTTGCTTTCTGGAGGTAGCAATTTCTTAACAGCATTTGTCTTGTAAATATTATACACAATTTCAGTCATAACATGTCGAGAACATTAAAAATCACACCATATATATTTCATTACAAAAATAATTTTACAAATATGAATAAATCCTCAAGTCACCAAGAGGCCACTTCAAAAAGTCACTTTTACAATTCAATTTTAAAAAAAGATAAATGATTTGGACACAGCAAAAAATACAAATACATAGATAAAACTTGTGAGTGATTATGGCTTTTTAAAAATTCCAAAAAGAAAGAAAAGTTCTCTTCCTTAGGAAAAAAAAAGAACTTCAGAGATCTAATGTTAACCACCATTGGGCATCAACATCATTGGCCAAGCACAATATTATTAGATGTCACTAGTCAGCTCTCAGCCCAGATATTCAAATAATGTTTTGGTATGTATGTGTGTGTTTATTTGGATATGTCTGAATTAATTGTTTAAATTATCTACTAAACAACCCTCAATTGTTCATTGCATTTGCTATGTGAACAACCAAATACCCTCAATTATTCATATTCATTGCCACCTGAATTTTAACTTTCAAACTTGCATTGTTATTTTGTACCTTATAAATAAAATGGATTTAACCTACATTAAGAAAAATGCAAATTGGGAAATGCATTACCACAGTCAAATAATAAGATTATAATGAAGAGATAATTGATAATATATTTCAACTATTACTTATCTAATGTGGTTTACTGTGGTAGTCTACTTCTAATATAACAGCTTTGGTTATTCCTGACCTGGTACTATGCAGTTAAAACATATTAGTACACATTCACTAGTTTTGTCCAGATATTGGATAAACGCAATATCTGGTACAATGCTCTACTTTCAGTTTGTTATCTAGTACAGTAGTATTGACATGATAGGTGGTATGAAGGTTAAGTGATGGGACTTGATTATTAAGTGTGGGAAGCTTAATTATCTTTGACCAGAAAACCATGCACCTACACTCTGGTGATCATTAAAACAAGAAAATACACTTGATTCCTATGACCACAGTGTTGTATCTAGGAATGAAATGGTAAGGGGGGCACCAAGTTGAAGCGGGAGGCTTGGTAATCAGGTGAGGGGGAATTAACTCGCAGAATAAGGTGATTTGAGGTGATTTTTAACTCATTTGAGTATGCTTTATAATTTATTTTGGGAAAATGGT